GAAGAAGTGGACAAAGGTATTTCAATTGACTAACAGGGATCAGTTTCAAGCAAGATTAGAAAATGAATGCCTTGAAAATCCCAGACAGGAAATGTTGCTGCATTAAACTCATTAAATAGCAGAAGATAGAATTGATGGCCGTCTCGTTAAAATGCATAAAAATCAAATACCAACACAGATTCTATATCTGTACAAATATGATGTCGATGCTTGCACTAGGGCACCTCAGGAGGAGAAAGACTGATGACATCCGCCCTGAACTGACAATAGCCAGAATTACGAGTATATGTCTGCGCCTCTTTCTTGGTTCTGACACGAGCATGAGAATGAATGAATGAATTTTTACCCCACCAGGACATCACACAAGCGATAAACACCCGATGACACAAAGTGCCACCATGTGGGTGAGGATCAACGTGGCGAGGTCCCAGAAACCGCGTTCAGACAATTGGCCTTATTGATGGCCAGCCTATATTGCGGCCCCTGGCAAAAGCCAGAGTGGGGCTTCAAATAACAAAAAATTACGTCCTGAAAAGGGCGTAATTGTATTGACCAGCATGAGAACTCAAACTGTACTGACGGCCAATTGTCAATCCTCCTGTCTTGTGTTCACTTACATTTACTATAGAGCTCAAACTTTAATGACGGCCAATTGTCAATCCTCCTGTCTTGTGTTCACTTACATTTACTATAGAGCTCAAACTTTAATGACGGCCAATTGTCAATCCTCCTGTCTTGTGTTCACTTACATTTACTATAGAGCTCAAACTTTACTGACGGCCAATTGTCAATCCTTCTGTCTTGTGTTCACTTACATTTACTCAGGAGCGAAATGTAGCAAAAAAGTTGTAAGATGTTTTTGAGATCAGATTTCATAAGTATTGCATATTTTACGCCAGCAATATCAAACAATGATGTTACTTCTAAGGCTGTACCGAATATTCGCTTCGTATTCGCTTCGTATTCGCTTCGGGGCCCAAAAGTGGACATATTGACTATTCAGTATTCGGCCGAATATTTGCAGTCGGGCCGTATACGAATAGTAGTAATCATACATCCGCTTCTGCACACGACCTTAATGCCAACGACATGGAACGATTTGTTTTATTGAAGGCGAATGCAGCTTTCATGCATTAAATTAGCTGTCAGGGACAATTTGCAAGTTTAGTTATTTGTTATAATACTTAGGATTCTTTCATTCCTAGTTATTAGTTCTCACAGACTGGCTGAAGGATGCAAAACGTAACATGTTTTTAAATGTTTACTATTCTGTACGAATACTAACTAGACATGGAAAGAATACAAACTCCGGCCACATCCAAGTCGATAATAAGAAAATCAAACGAACGGAAACATATAAGTACTTGGGTGCAAACTTCAACTGCTCCAACATGTTGAGAGAAGAAATACAACCTAGAAATAAAGTAAATCATGCCCTTCAACATCTGCTAAAGTCAAAGTGTATGTCTCGCAACAACAAGATCAAAATATATAAAACGTTCATAAGACCAGTCGTTTTATTCGGCTCTGAAAATTGAAGCAAAAATAAAAGAGATGAGGCCTTATAACAGGTTTTTGAAAACAGTCTTAAGACAAGCCTTTGGAACCATCAAAGATGCTAACAGCGGGGAATGGAGAGTGAGAAGCAACAACGTAACACACAATCTGTTTGAAACACCATTGATAACTGGCATCATGAGAGCTAACAGACCAAAATTGTTGAGGCATACTGAAAGAATGTCAGATGACAGAGAAGTAAAAACTGTATACACCTGAGAGAGGAATGGTCGTTGACCACGAGGCAGATAAAAAAGAAGTTAATGTCCAGCCAGACCTGCAAACAACGAGAGATATTTGCAGCAGTAAACCTGAAGTGCTCAGAATGCTAAAAAAGAAAATGACTATTCTGTGCTACTTTATGTTAAGTAAAAGTTCAGCGTACATTTGACATTATGAAAAAGTTTTTTTTTTTTTTTTAAGATATATTTTGTAGACTATACACTATTCGTATTCGTATTTGGCCGAATAGTTGGTCCCGTTATTCGTATTCGGCCGAATAGTGAAAAATCACTATTCGGTACAGCCCTAGTTAATTCGTCTGTAAATCTAGACACACAGTGTTAAAAAAAAAGCTATCGCCGCAAAACAATAGCTGCAAAGACAATCAACAGCTGTTTGCAAACAAAGTGTTCACAATATGGGTGTGCGCCCCTAAAACTAATATAACTTAGCTCTCTGCTGAACTTAGTTGAAACTTTTGCACATTATTTTTCGCACTGGTAATAACTGAAGAGTGTTTTGTGACTCCTGTTTTCATCTATGAAGAACTTCATTTGTTGTCGAAATACCTTACGCACTAGATGCGTGGTCATGTGTTTTGACATCTCAATGTTTCCTTAGTGACGTGTGATTTGTTGCTGGCACAGTAACTGAGCCATGAGGGAATCACAATCTTACGGTAAAGTTTGCAACTATGACTGACTTATCAACTAAGGAACAATTTACAAAATAACTATAATTACCTAACAAAACAAAAGCAAACTACCAACCAGCTAACTAACCAGCTAAATAATTAACCAAAACCCAACTTACCAAGTACATAACAAGTAGCTAACCAACCAACCAACTAACTACCTAACTAAAATCTAACAGTGACTGACTAACTAAATAACTAATTAATTAAATTTATCTGCCTGACTGACTGACTGAGTGACTGACTGACTGACTGACTGAGTGAGTGATGACTAATAAGCTAACTGGCTAATTAACTGACTTAACATTAACAACAAATAGTAGTAATAATTACACAAAACGGATTAACTAATATTTGATAACCTAAAACAGAGACACTTTGACAACAGGTATATAATATCTTAAATCTTACCCATATTAACGATTGCTTGGCTTTCTTAAACTTTGAGTTAGGCTCGCCATAGAACATGACCAAGGCTGCGTCATGTGTGCAGATATACCTTTCAAGCTCTTGTTCAAATAAATGTAAAACTCCTGGCAGACTTTCATATTTATAAGGTTCTTTGGGAATTGGATGACTATACAGATATTGCGCTGCTTTACGAAACGCCCCCAGATGGGTGCGATAATTATCAGAATAAGTACCTGGCATATGATAGGTCTTTTCGCCCCCAGCCATCCTGTTCAATGTGTGTGAATAAAGGATTTCTGAACTGGTTATAGAGTCAATGAAATAAGCTATGGCAATCAAAAAGGAGAAAGGCAACTGCAGGGAAAGAAATGAAAGGCCGTGGACCGGCCTAACTCAACGTCCGCGGACTGAGAGACTCCGCGCTAAGTGACGTCGTTCTCCTGGAGACGAGAAATCGGAGCTCTAGTGGGTGCAAAGTAACGATGGTGTGCAAAGAAGACAAAGTGATAAAGAGCTTGACTTGATTCAAGAACAGACATCACAGCTCTAGGGTTTTTCTCATAAGTACTCAATCTGAACACCAAGGAAGATTGGCTAATAAACAGCATCCTTTCTCGAAAGCTGAAATATTTTGGTCATATCAAGAGCCACGACGGATTGGAAAGAATTATAGCAGAAGGCATGGTACCAGGAAGGAGGGATAGGGGCCGACCGACGCGAAGATGGGCACAGGATATAAGTGACTCCTTGAGTGTGAAAGTTCATGAGGCGGTAAAACTGACAAGAGACTGAGTTTCTTTCAGGCAGACTGTGATTAGAGCGACGTTCTGCAAAGGACCTGCTACATGATGATGATGACTCAGTCTGAAATTATGCTCCAAATACCGTACCATCGTATTAAAAAGTCCTGCTGGCAAAATCCTTTCACGAATCATCATGAAAAGGATTGAAAGGAAACTACAATATGAGCTGGATGAAGCACATGCTGGTTTCAGACAGGGTAGATTAACTAAGGATCACATCTTTAATATAAAAATAATGTTTTGAAAAATGCAGAGAATACAACGAAGATCTTCATGCTTGTTCTATTGATTATAGCAAGGCATTTGAATGTGTCCAACGCCACAAACTGTGGGATATTATAAAAAGTATGGGGTTTCCAGCGATTTTAGTGCATTTATTAGAAAATCTTTATCGTGAACAACAAGCAGCCATCACAGCAGTTGGTGAAACATCAGATTGGTTTGAGGTGCAAAAGAGGGTGAGGCAGGGGTGCATTCTCTCACCATACCGATTCAATATATACTCAGAAAATATAATGAGAAATGTCAAAAATGACCAGACTTGTGACAGTTATGATCCGCTCAAAATTGGTGGCAACCCTATCCCTGAACTCCAGTACGCAGTTGACACAGTCCTCCTTTCGAACAGCGTAAAAGGAAAAGAAAATTTAATATTGTCTGTCCAAAGGCACAGTGAAGATCAAAATCTGTTCTTGAATTTAAAGAAAACGAAAATAATGTTCACAGATAAAACTGGCTGTCACCCAACAACAACAAAAATATATATATATATATATATATATATATATATATTTATATGATGAAGAAATTGAAAATGTCACAAACTTTGAATATCTAGGCTCTATAATAAACAACAATGGAGACTTTGACAGAAATTAAAAAGAAGATGACCATCGCAATGCAAAGATTGAACAGCCTTAAAAGTCTATGATTAAGCACCAGCAAGGAGATAAAAATTAGAATTTTGAGAGCATGCATCTTCCCTGTGGCTACATACGGATGTCAGTCGTGGACTATCTCTCAATCGTTAAGAAAGAGAATAGGGGCTTTTGAGCTGAAATTTTCAGAATATCTTGGACCAAGAAAAGGAGAAATATTGACGTCTTAAAAGATCTGAACATCAAGGAAAATTGGCTAATAAACAGCATCGTTTCTCGGAAGATGAAATATTTTGGTCGTATCAAGCGCCACAACGGACTGGAAAAAGTTATAGCAGAAGGCATGGTACCAGGAAGGAGGAGCAGGGACGACCGCCACGAAGATAGGCACAGGATATAAATGACTCCTTGCGTGTGAAAGTACATGAGGCAGTAGAACTGGCGAGAGACCGAGTTTCTTTCAGGCAGACTGTGATGAGAGCGACGTTCTGCAAAGGACCTGCTACATGATGATGACTCAGTCTCCATGTTCAGTTGCAAACGTGCACAGAGTTCCAATACCAATCTTGAATGCTGAATTTAGAATCGACATCAGAGCACTCTGGTCACTCCCATAACCGCTCCCTGCCCATCTTCAGCAGCAATCGAAGATTTCTAGTTTCGATGGTACCAGTAACTGTCTGTATATCCGTCTCGCACTGAGTGTTAAGATTCCTTGGTAACTTCTCTCACCGCCATTCTCCTCAGACCCGAACGATCTTTCTGTCTCTCTGCACTGTTCACTCGCTCCTAAAGGGCCTTCACAACATCTAGCTTGTCATACATCAGTTTACCACCAAGTGGTGCAGAGCCGGCCAGTCTACCTGACTGCTCATTTCTCAAGACACAAGCTTGACATAAAGAAAATAAAGGATGGTAACTACCCTGGACCTTTGGAAGCATCACTTCAAAGGTCCCGGTAGTTCTTCTTCTTCTTCTGCCTTTCTATCCCCCAATGAAGCATAGGCCCGCAACCAACTCACGCCAAGTCGTTCTATCCTTCGCAATTGGATGGAGCTCTAACCATGTCCTCCCCATCTTTCTAACTTCATTCTCCTGCTCTCTTCTCCATGTGTTTTTTGGCCTTCCTTTATTCCTATGCCCCTGTGGGTCCCAATTAAAAGATATTCTAGTTATGCTGTTCTCCTGTGTTCTCAGTGTGTGTCCTATCCAACGCCAGCGTCTTTTCCTCACCTCTTGGTCCACCGGATCTTGTTTAGCTCTCTCCCAAAGCTCTACATTAGTTATTCTATCATACCATTTAATTCCCTCTATTCTTAGCAGGCACCAGTTAATGAATGTCTGTAATTTATTAGTAATTGCCTTAGTTGTTTTCCATGTTTCCGCCCCATACAAAAATACTGATTTGACGGTAGAATTAAAAATTTTAAGTTTAGTATTTCTTGTAATTTCTTTTGACCTCCACAAATTCCCTAGTGCTGTGAAAGCCCCTCCTGCCTTTTCCATTCTTGGTATAAGCAATTACTCTTTTCATAATCCAGTCTATAGCCAGTAAAAATAAGAGAGGCGACAAGACATCCCTGTCGCACACCTGTTTTTATTTTAAATGCATCTGTTAGCTTTCCCTCATGAAGAACTCGACATTTCATATCTTTATATGTTGCAAGATCAAATACCATCACAAGCACTACATCTCAGAAGATCAGCTAGAAGAGCAAGAGGACGGTGGCGGAAAACATGGATCGACAACATTAAAGACACTCTACGCCTTTACAGCATGACAATAGCCAGTGGCAGCCAACGTGCACTGGATCGCAAATTATTTCTCCCCACGGCACTTTACGGCATAAGTGGTTTATGATGATGATGAGGATGATATGTTGCCTTTACTAAGTTGATAATTTTCTGTGGGATTCCATAGTGCCCCATCAATTTCCAGAGAGATTATTTATCTATGCTGTCAAATGCTTTTTCATAGTCTATAAATCCAATGTAAAGTGGTGAGTTCAGTTCAATGCTTTGCTCTATTATAATAATATATATTATAATATCTCACAGTACCTCCTTCGAAACCACTAAGTCGTCTTGTCTCTGGCCGAAATAATAACACCATCCGGTAATTCTGTGCAGCGGGGAAGCAGCCCTGAGCTTCATGAACTCAGGTGGGCCCACCTCCGAATACGTTTAGGAATCGTGGGCCGAAACGTGTGTCGAAAGAGGATAATTTCTACTGATGACTGTAGATCCCCGCTGTACTTGCTCCCTGTGAGTTTATTCTTATTGTACGTGGCTAGCCCACAAGACTACCAGGAAAGACTGGTGACTATCGGGAAAGACCTTTTGACACCTATGGAAAGACTGGCCCCCCGGTATCGCCGGGGGGATAAACTGACATCTGGAGACAGATGTCGACTGTGGACCGGGTTGATCACCCCTAACACAGTATAATACCTCCGATTTCGTACGACCACAATGAAATATGCCCCCAGGGCCCTCCGAAAGGGGGGGGGGAATGAAGGGCCCAATCTGATTGATACCCTCGTTGACGACTTTGCTAGCCCCCGGACTGAGACACTCGCCCAACGTCCGGGCTGGCTCTGTACATGTGGGAAAAGCTTCACGGGGTTGCATGGTCTGAGAACGCATGCCGGAAGAATGAAATGCGAGGGTGCTCCACGCAGTAAACGCCGTCGCAAAACTACCACTCCTGTGGTAGTTTCTGAGTCGTCAGGGTACGACGGGCAGGGTGAACCCCACTCGCCAGGAGAGGCCCATAACGTCGACTGCGGAGGAGCACCTTTGATGATTTCTGGAGAAGTGCGTTCCAAGATCAGGTTTCCACCTGCGAGCGAGAAGGTGGTGTGGTGTAAGTTGGAGGTTACATTATGTGAGATACTTAAACAAACTCTAAACAAGAAGCCGCTAGGCGACAAGC